ATATATATATATATATATATATATCATTTAAATAATCATCAAGGTTATCCCTTTAAAATAACTATGGAACGTTGGAGAACATCTTTCTCACAGGTCTTCCACCTTAAAATTTGTCTTTTTTTTTCTTCTAAATCTGTCTTTCATTTTTCTCGCCCTCTCCTCTCTTTCTCCCATCCCTTGCTATTTTAACTTTTATTTTTCTTTCACTTTCTTCTATTTTCCTATTTCTCTCTCCTCTATATGCATGTTAACTTAAAAAAAAAAAATAGCAATAAGTTTTTAAAATTAATAAATATTTAAAAACTTGACTAATTTAGTTTCATGATATTTAATATAAAAATGTCAATACACATTTATAAATCAAGTTTACATGTTGTAGAATTTTAATTGTCCTATCCAAACCAAAAGTTTAAAATTTAAATTAATTTATTGAAACAAAATATTTAATGATCAATCAAAATAATTCAAATTTTAAATTTAAAACTCATCATCCAAATACAAATCTAAGTGCATAATGTGGATCCACGCATTTAAAATAGAATTTAAGGTATGGCTTGCATAAACTTGTGAGAAAATGAAGTTGAGCTTCCCAAACATTAAACAATGTAACCACATATAACGCTTCATATTCTTTAATCCAGTATTGACAAGAGTATATAAAAATTTCACTAGAAGTACCAAACACCAAATGCTTACTACCACCATCAAAACTGAGAAACCAAAATAGGAAACATGGGTCTAAAATAGAATAGAAAAGTTGTGTCTAACTATGGAAACTTTAACAGCTAAAATAACAACTGCAGCCATATGGAAAACTGTCCCCTAAAAGTCATCTAGTAATTCTGTGAATAATCAAAGCTCAATGGGCGTTGGCCAAATGGAGCCTGCAAAGCAGCAAAAAATATAGGTAACATACATGATAAAAGATAGATAAACTATATTCTACAAACATCTAAAGGAAACAATATATTTTAATCCTCGCATCGGAACAGAACTCGTTCAAATAAACTTCTTCAAAAGCACTTTTAAAAAGAAAAAATAAGGGAAAATAAAATAAACTTGTTCATATACTAAAATTGGTTTATGCATAAATTAATTTGTAAAAACTCTATCATATAGCTTCTCCAAAAAATTACAAATAAGATTATATATGAGTCTGCTTTTTTAAACTTAAAAATAAGTGTTTATAAACAAGTGGTTTTAAAAAAATAAATTCTTTCAAAAGCAGATAAGAGTTGCTTCTTAAAGAAAAAGGCAGAAAACTACTTATTTAAAAAAAAGAAATACAAAAGTTTAGACAAACACATAAAAATAAAAATAACAAGTACTTATTTTATTAAAAAGTGTTTTAGAGGAAAAAATTTTTAAACAAACACACCCATCAACTAGTTTTAACTTATGAAAAAACTTATTTCATTTTTTCTCTCATATTTTTTTTCCTCTTAGAAGTGTTACTAGAGAAGTTTATCCAAATAAGTCCAAATTTATTAGCCTTGCTTGACAATAGTCAAAATATGTATCAAAAAAACACTACAACTACAATATGAATGTACAGCCATTTCGATCCACCCTCTCCCCCAACGCAATTCAATTCGTAGTAGTTTTATAAATAAAATCAGCCAATCAATACAATTCTATGAGCAGTATGTAACAAGGAAATTGAAAAAATGCAAAGGAAAGAGCCACAAGACATTAAACACGCATGAAAGCTGAAAGAAGGAACCCCTGAAAAGTAACAATCCGGAGATGGAAAATGAGGTTTTCAATTTCATATGTAATATTAATCCACAAAACCTAAAATTGATAAGAAAATTAAAGATTTTTTCTAGCATGCCCTGGTATTTTAAGGCTAAAATATGAAAGCCACTGAAGAATGTTGTGAACACCAAAATAAGACTTCCTGTTGTCCCAGTCAATTTTGGGGCATATTATTGAGATGCATGTATATAAAAGGATAACAATTTGAGAGAGAGAGAGAGAATCATACAATGTCAAATGTGGTACTAATTTTTTGATGTTCAAATAATAGGAACAGAAAACCACTCATCACATTCAACAGCATATCAAAATTATTAACTGGTGATTACCTGGAAAACAGCATGTCTAAATTGGTCATATGAATGTGCATACATCATTGCAGCGCTTGGCCATTGTATGTAAGCGGCATCACAAGATGCCTGATTCAATGCCGTGACACCAAAAGGATTCATCATAGGGCTTGAAGGAGGTCCATAGCCAAGTGAAGCTTGACTTTGTGACATCTGACTCAACTGATTAAAAGCAGTGTCGTACTGCACAAATGGAGGTTGAACTTGTTGCAAATTAAAAGGCATCAAGTTAGGGGAAGAAGTTGGAAAACTCCTAACATACCTGCATTAATAATGTGATACAATCTGATAAATAAACTCTTCAGAATAAAATTTAAAACTCAATTAAAACAAATCAGCCACCAAATAAGGGAAAAAAACTGATGATATCTATAAACATCACAAGTGTATGTGCAAAACAAAGAAGTGGGCATGCCAAGGCTTGCCTGGAAACAATGCTGGTGAGCACTGGGTGTCAGTACTTTGTGTTGAAACTTGAAACAGGTGAGAAAGCAGTGCATGTTGCATGAATAAGATTAAAACACTGTTTAAAATGATATTAAAAAAGGGAGGGGAGGGGGTAAAAACATGAAAATAACCTCAAAAAAATTGTTAACAAGTGGGCATAAAGGGAGTTTTATCCTCATTTCAACATGGCAGCCACAACAGCTGCAGACTATTGCAACTTCAATCATGACACATGCAATACAGGTTTCATATACAAGCCAGCTGCAATGCAATAATGCTGCTATCATGCACTATCGATAACTATATCATATACTAACAAGTACTACCTCTGTCACCTTAATAATGGACTTTTTATCCACTATTATAATAAAATGTTTAAAAAACTTAGTGGTCACGGTGTCACTGTTGACACAGATGCATTAATGCAAGACAGGTTTTATTTTTGAGTATGCACATCACAGCAAAAAGGCCAAACAACCATCTGTATGCCATTTCAGCATTCATTGCCAAGATAACTCTCAAACAAATAACATAGTACAGTGATAGAACAAACCTTCCATAGCTACGATCATAATCTGGATCACTGCGATCCTTCTCCCTGTCTCTGAAGATGGCAACACGAGTAGAATTAATGTCCCTATCACTAGTGCATTTTTCTGAATCAACCACAGCAGTCTTGCTAGTTTCTTTCTCATCCTTGCTTATAAGAAAATTTTTCTCATCTGTTGAAGCCTGGGAGAGAGTATCATCTGAATCACAACTTCTAGAGCTACTAAAAATGCGTGCTCGGGCCCGATCATATTCCTCCTTCCTCTCTTCCACACTTCTAAGAGGATTTCCTTTCTTTCCAGCTTCATTGGCTTCATTTAAACTGGTTTTATTAGGCCTAGGCCTTATGGCAATTTTTATCAGCTCAGGCTTATCTTTTTCCAACTGTTTAGCAGGTATTTCAGATAAGCGGACCACAGGATACCTGCTTTCCGCTATCTTTCTTACCATAATTCTGGTTCCCTGGCTATCTAAGCCATTATCCTGAACCACTGTTTGCATACCATAGTGTTGAGCAACACGATGAGCAGCCAGTCTGAGATATGAAGAAGGGAAATGTGGAAACTCAAAGTGCTGCTGATCTGCATTATTCAGGAACCTCTGGATATCTAGCTCCATCCGCAAAACTATAGTAGAGGAACAAAAAGTAGATAATGAAAAAGAAAAATGTCATATATAAAATAACAAAACGGAGGAAAACTTAAAACAAATAACCCAAAAATATAGCTAGAAAAGATATATTAGTAGGGGAAATTACAGTCATGTGACTCATGTCAAATGAATGTTGACAACCACATTATCAAAGAAAAACTGCTTCATCTCCTATAATAATGCTCCTATATCCTAATTCAACAGCCCTATACCAAGCAAAATATGTTACATACATGCATACAAATACAAGGTAAACAACTTATTCTCAGGTTCAGTTCCTTTTGACACAACCTTTTAGACACAATCTACATGACCACAAATACCATGGACACTTACGAAAACCAAAAGGCACATTATTTATCAAAATTGTGGCTCTTTCCATTTTATACAACAATTTTCTAGGCTTAAGACTTCTCTACATGTCCTCAATTATCATGTATAAATGAAAGTTATTATAACGCCTTTGCAATCTAAAACAATACACACCGGATGACTACAACCTATTCCAGCAGCATGTCGCCTAAATCCTATTTCTAGATAATATTTGGAATGGAGAAGTGAGTTATTATTAATTGGTCCACGGAGGGTGCAATCTTCATAAAATCTCAAACTATATAGATGCTACACTAAAACCGAATTTGTTAACTTCAGAATTCAAGATGCCTCTCTTATCACCCCCAATTACTCCATCAAATTTACATGGAGGCACACATATATGACCTACATACATTCTAATGATCCTATCTTTAGGAAAGTGAAGTTACCTGCAATGAACTTAGGACCATATTACAGCAACAATCAAACCTTATAGCTTATACTATTTGGTGGGATCTATTAGACGGATGGAATTATGCTATCATGCTTCATCACACACCAAATTTCAGTAACATAAATGGGTACAATTCAACAGCCCTAGTAATGGTGTCCAAATTTCTCATTCCCAAACCAACTCCACAAAATTGAACTTCGCATTCAGATTTTTATTTTCTATAATCATCACAATTAGATAGGTACTTACCAGAAGCATCCCAGATCTAGCATAACATAACCTATCCACAACCCCAATAATAAATTAAAAACAAAAACTTGGCTCATATCAATAAAACCCCAAATTTAAAAATAAAAAAAAATAAAAATAAAAATAAAAAAAAACCACCTCAAGCTAAAATCTTGCAGCATACCCATTAACCAGAGCATCAAAACAAACAAAACCCCCAAAAGCACAAACTCAGAAACGACATAAAAACTGGCATACGACACGAAATTAAGATTTAACAGACAGAAAGAGAGAGCACTGACTGGTGACACGGTGACGAGGGTTCTGAAGAGCCTCAACCAAGAAAGGGTCAACCATTGACTCCTTATCTTTGAACCCGGAAACGACGCCGTTTGACACAGACGAGGAATCCATGGTTAGAATTACAACACACAAAAAATGGCGGCTTCCAGAAACTTCTACCTCTTTTTTTAAAAAAATTTTGTTGAGGTTCCTTCTGAGATGGGTCAAAAGGAAGAAGAAGAGGAAGAAGATGTGTGGCCTGACATAGGAGAGAGAGAGAGAGAGAGGTAAAGAGAGTCTGTTCTTGGTTATTTGCTGAACCTCTCTCCGTTTCTCTCTCCACCAATTAGGAGAGAAAGAGAAGTCTGAAAAGGAAACTGAGGAGAATATATAGGGATAGATGGATGGATGGATGGATGGATAGTTAATCAAATCTTAGATGTCTAAAGGCCACATAGAAAGTCACACTCCAACTTCTCCATTACTAGGGTTCGCTTGTGTTGTGTGTATGCAAAAAGGAAAGTAAAATATGTTTCAAGCCTCAAGAGACCAGGAATTTTAACATGCCACCAAAATTATTTTCTAACTTTAATTAATTGGACTTTCTTCACTATGATAATTTACTTAAAATACCCATCTTAGTGTATTATATATTATTATATCTTTTTATCAAGGTGTATTTAAAGTTTTTTTTTAATAAGAGTTTTTGGGTCTTTTTTTTTTTTTTCTGTTTCGATTTTTTTATAGAGATAGTTATAAGAATAAGTTTGTTAAAAGGATGTGTTCATGAAAGAGCAGTTTTATTATAAATAGTATTATATCTTTTTATCATTAAAGCTTATAATAAATAAATTATATACTTAATGACATTTTTTTCCTTCAAGTATTGGAATGTCTCTAAAGTTTTAATTAAGTAAATTTAATCTATCAAATATTATAATTGTATAATTTTAGTCTCTCTAATTAAATAATTTTGATTTCTCAAATATAGCAATTGTCAAATTTTAGTCTCTCATTTAAAATCTAATAATTATAAAATTATAATATGTATATATAATATTATTTTAAAATTATACAGTATTTAATCTTTTTAAGTTACATATATCTTAATATTATTAAATTTAGGATAATCTCTAATTTTTCTATCTCGATTTTATAGGTATAATCACATCATTATATATATTAAATTCAAAAAATTTATCTTAATCTTATCTTAATATTACTAAATCTAAGATAATCTCCAAAAAAAAATTATCATTCTTTTATAGGTATAATCATCTCATTATACATATTAAATTCAAACATTTTCTATCTTAATATTAATACTACTAAATCCAGGATAGTCCCAATTTTTCCTTCTCACTATTTTATATGTATAATCATGTCCTTATACATAACAAATTCAAACATTTCATATCTTAATATTAATACTACTAAATCCAATATAGCCTCCAATCTTTTTCTCATGTTTTTGAAGGTATGCTCATGTCATTATACATATTAAATTATGTAACAAATAATACTTAATGGGTTAATTAGTAGATGTTCATATTCAATAAACATTATTACCATTTATAATTTTGTTATGTATTATTTCCTTCTTATGTAATTGTTTATCTATAAATAGGCTAATTTTTTTGGAGAAATAATACATTAGTTAGATTCTTCTCTCTCATATTCTCTACTTTGCTCTCTTTGTTATTATCTTTCCTTTTATAATGTGTTATATAGTCTTTGTAACAGCCTGAATACATTAGAATGAGAGGGATCCAAAAATTATATAAGTATGAGATTGTATAGTTAAGGATATCTTAAAGGAATTAATTTATACTACCTATATCAAAAAAGATATGTACACTTTTTGATAGCTCATTACATAAGAACTTCAAAGTTAAATGTGTTTGACTTTGATCAATTTAAGATGGGTGAACTTCTAGAAAATTTCCTAAAAAGCATGCAGGGGACGACAAAATACATTAAAAAGTCATATGTTGATTTATGGGGTCAGTCGTTAATCTTAGAGGCAAACAAGCATCTTAGAAAGTACTATCCATGGAGGGTTCTAACCAACAAGGAGTTGTGTGAAGTGTCATCATGTGAAGTATCATGAAGTGGAGCCGCTAAGATATCAAATCTGAGGGGTGTTGCAAATGGTATCAAAGTAGATTCTCTCTCCTTATACGGTGTGGTTTTGGGACGAACCAGGCAGAAGCTACTAGGCTTGTAACAACCCAAATACATCAGAATAAGAGGAATCCAAAGATTGGACAATTAAGGATGACTTAAAAGAATTAATTTGTACTACCTATATAAACAACATGCTTCTACTTTTTGACAGCTCGTCACATAAGAACTTCACAGTTAAGCGTGCCTAACTTAGAGCAATTTAAGGATGAGTGACTTTCTAAAAAGTTTCCCAAAAAAGCATGCAAGTAGGGACAAAACATGTTGAAAAGTCTTATATTGGTTTGTGGGGTCGTTGATCTTAGAGGCGGATGAGCATCTCAAAAAAGGCTATCCATGAAGGGTTTTGATCAGTTAAAGGTTCTGACCAATAAGGAATTGTGTGAAGTATCATCGTATAGAGTGTCGTGGAGTGGAGCCATTAAGATGTCATATTTGAGGGGTGTTACAGTCTTTATTTCGTTGGTGTTACAACCTACAAGGCACTATGATTGTGAATTATATGTCCATCAATAATTTTTTACTCCACACAATTTCAATTTAGAAATAATTCTAAATATTGCTTAATTATATTCACTCACAAATTTGAAATCTTGTAAACGTAAATGCATCCAATCATAACAAGCCTTTGGGAGAATCAAGTTTTTTGGTAGTAAAAAACTTATAAAAGAGCAAGATAATTTGTTCCAACAATAGCAATATCGAGAAAAGGTTTAAGAAATATTCTAAATTAATTTCTTGTCTCCTTATAGCTAAACAAAATAATGAAATTTTATTGAAAAATCATAAGGCTCATCCAATTAGTTTTGCTCCATTCCTAGAAGACATAGGATAGACGAACTAGTGGGTGTGTTCGTGGTCATGGTCATGGAAGTAGTCGTGGTCGAGGTCATGAAGGAAGTCATGGTCATGGTTGTGAGGAGAAGAATACTTTTTCACACCAAAAGTGGAAAAATAATGAAAAAATAAGGAATGGGTGGACACGATTACAAGCACGAGGAATATATATGTTATTATTGTAGTGGAAAGGGTCACTAGTCGTATACCTGTCGCAACCAAAGCATATTGTTGAACTTTAACAAGAATCACTTAAAAAGAAGAGGAAAAAGAGAGAGGCACATTTTTCTTATGAAGATGATGATTTGGATTATGGTCATATGGATGGCTACTCACTTAGATATTATTGATTTCTTTGCTAATTCAAACAAAAAAAGTTTATCAATCTTATTAGTTATGAGAGTGTCTAGAAATAATCTTTTTTTTTCTTTCTTGTTATTAGAATTTATATTTAGTTCAATATTGGGTATTTATTATGTTTTAATGTTGTTGGGCTATAAGGTTTTATTCTTAATTAATACATATTTGACTAGTTAGATTGTTATCATTTAAAATATTCTTATATTTCTTATTTATATTGGTTTTTTAAATTTTTTATGAAGAATGAATATTGACACTAGCATTAATGTCATGAAGTTCATGGATATTTGTTTAAATAGGTATCAAATCGAAACAAATAATGAAAGAAATGTATAATATCATTATATCATGAAACTTTACTTGTACAAGAAACAAGTAATAGAAAAATTATTTGCTTTTTTCTATGGTTTGCATTGCACATATGTTAATACAATTTAAATACATACTATCGTAAACTAGAAGTTTACAAGTCAAAATAAATTTGTCGTTTGGTATGATTAGTTGGGTCCTAAGTCTATCATGATGCAAAAAATAATTGAAAATTCATAGAGACACTTATTGATGAGCGAAAAAGATTCTTCAATATAATATTATATCATGTACCATTTGTTCCCAAGGGAAGTTAATAATTAGACTCGCACTAGCAAAAATTGGGAATAAATTTGTCTTGTTTTTAGACGAATACAGGATAATATTTGCAGATTAATACACCCACCATGTGAACAATTTAGATATTTTATGGTTTAAATTAATGCATCAACACGATGATCACATGTTTGTTTATTATCACACGATTTTTAGCTCAACTAATTAAATTAAGAGCTTAGTTTTTTGACTATCCAATTAAGAAAATTCGTCTTCATAATATTGGTGAATTCACACCTCATGCTTTTAATGGGTATTGTATGTCTATTAGAATTGATATTGAGATTCTAGTAGCACATGTTCATACACAAAATGGACTTGTAAAATCATTCATTAAACATTTAAAATTGATTATAAGACCGTTACTCATGAGATCAAAACTTTCAATATCAACTTGGGGCATGCAATCTTGCATATTGTAGTATTAATTCCCATCAAACCAATAAGCTATCACAAATTTTCCCATTTACAGTTGGTTTTTGGTGAGCAACCTAATATTTCTCATTTAAGAATCTTTGGGTGTATTGAATATGTTCCAATTACCCCGCCTCAAAGAATTAAGATGGGTTCTCAAAGAAGTTTGGAAATATATGTTGCATATAAATGTCCATCTATAATAAAATATCTTGAGCCTTCAACTAGAGATTTATTTACGACTCAATTTATCGAATGCCATTTTAATGAATTTATTTTACTAACATCAAGGGGAGAAAGTAAGTAGTTGAAAAAAGATATTAATTAGAATGAATTATCGCCATCTCAACTTTTTCCATGCATAGGCATGGTTCCTTAAATATGCCCATGGTACCTCCTACATATTCCTACATAGGCTTGCTTCCTTTAAGCATGATCGTACTTATTAGTCCAAAGCCACAAAATTGCATCAGGCTCGACTGATTCGCATATGGTTATCACCTTCTTCTTTTCTATTTTGCATCAAATCATAAAATTATCCGATACTCGTATAATCACACCAAAATTAAACCTCAAACTCCAATAATTTTTTTTGAACTAAAACAAATCACACTAAATTTCCAAATTATGTATACAATCCTAGCCATCAAAATACAAGACAATTATGTACACTAATACATTAATCACAAAACCATAACCATAGCCATCTTACCTCAACAATTCCATACCAAGATCATACATAAAAATTCACAGGGATTCATACAAAAACCTATGAGGCTTAGGGAGTCACAACACTTATCCCTCATATATACCCATAAATGTGACAATCTCACTTTCTCCTTGCCTCAAGTGATGATTTCATAGCATTGAGTGCTTCCTGTTGCCTCAATTGCTACTATGCACTTGTTTCAATGGCCTCTTCTAGGTTCCTCTCTCTTGGGGTTTCAAAAAATGCATAAGGAAAACCTATCTCCTTTATTTTTATTTATATTTTTAAAAGTCTTCAACTTGGTTCCAAAGTTCAACCCAAACCTTCCTCCCTTTTATCACTCCCTT